ATTACCAAATTGTTATGATATAATAAATTGATATTATGTAATCACACCATTAATAGGATAGGAGAGCATCATGTAAATATTGTCACTACAACGATTACAGTCCTGATGTGGCCGTAAGCGCAGCTTTATTTCAAGTGTAGCGAGTTTTACTTCCACAGCTTTCTGGTCAGCCTGTGTGACTGAGACGCCTCTGCTTTCTCTGAGGCAAGTGGCTTTTTTTATCTACCTGATCGAAAAAACATGGATCTTGTTGCTGGCTTCCAGCAGCACAGATAGAAAAGTGTTTATTGGACACAGCCAAGGAAAGCATGAATCCCACTCCCTTATAAACGGGGCTATCCTGTCCGTAGCCTGCAGACAAACAGTGAGTAAATAAGTCGGGGATCCAATTGATGTTCCTTTGTAGCCTAAAGTGTGTGTGTGTGTGTGTGTGTGTGTGTGTGTGTGTGTGTGTGTATGGGCTGACACTATCTTCACACCTCACCTCTGCAGGATTTAATGTATTTGGCAGCAGGAAAAGCACAAACTCAAGTCATTAATAAGTGATTGGACATTATGCAAAATGTAAAGCAGGGAAACACAATGTAACGTCTTCAAGGATGTGCATGAATAAATGCATCCATACGTGATTCACACTCTCTGCACCCTGCACATATTTTTTGATAACCGGCGCGCTGTAATGCTGAATAGGTAAAAGAAACAACCAACAGCAAGATAATGAGCTGCCATCTCATTAATGCGCCGCTTCTTCTCCCCTCTGCCGTTTCCAAACAGCAGCATGAAAGCATCCGTCTCCAACCTCTCTCAAGCCTTCCAATTTACTGCCACTCACCCTTTTTTTTTTAATTCCATCAGCATGATGATGAAAGCTGAGAGAGCATTATGGTCCTCGCCAGTGGTCAGACAGTGAGTGAGCGAGTGCATGGGCCAGCGTCGGTCACACTGTCAGCCAGCCAAATGGGTTAGGACAGATAGAGGGGAAGCCAAAGCAGGGGGGGGGGGGGGGGGCTGTGGGACCAACGGGCTGAGTGGCATAGACCCCCAATGCTCCCCACAGAACACGACCACAGAGTAAACACCAAATACCTGAGGGTGTGTTCATGTGATACAGAGCAGGAATGTACAGTGGACTATGTATAGTAAAGTGTAATACTTCCCGCGGTCAAATAGTTCACATATTTCTTAGTGTTTGTTTGAAGCCACTTGGTGGACCAGCTGTCTGGATTGGTGTGGTGTATATACGACTATCACAATATGCATTATAAAATAGGGGGGCAATAATTATTTTCATTATCAATTTTTTGATTTTTGTAAATAATCTGGTTTAGAGCTGAAATTATGGCCAGTTAATAAATCAATGAAATCATTTTTAAGGCCAAAAAGGCCATAAATTCACTGATTCACACTTCTGAAATGTGAATCTGTTATGATCGTTAACTAAATGCTTTCTGATTTAAGACGGCTGGTCGGATAAAACAAGCAGTATAAATATGTATTTGGGTTATGAGAAATTGTAACGAGCATTTTTACAGTCCATTGATAAAACAATGAATGGATTATCAAGAGAATAATCTGCTGATTAGTCGATAATGAAAATAATTAGGAAATAAATTAGCTGCTACACTGAATTTATGAATTGCTTCGTCTATGAATTGTCAAAAAAATAAATTAAATTTTCAATACATGAATCAGAGAAATACAACAAATACTATGAATAAAGAAACAGATAAAAGAAGCCGGCGCCAGTAAATGTTTGACATCTTTGCTTAATATTCCATTAGAGAATAATATACTAGGGCTGTCCTTGACCAAAGACATTCTTAGTTGACCAACATCTAATCCATTAGTTGATTTAAATCAACATATCTGTAAAACTGAGTTCCTCCAGAAAGAATCACACAACTGAACCACTTATTGTGTTTAACTAATAAGTTTCTTGGTAATAAATAATTGAATTGACTAATCATCAAAGAGGGAGCAGCCCTGTAGTAGATAGTAGCAAACCGATAAAATATTCTAAAGAAATGGTAATGTAATGAGAATCTTCATATTGACAATGACAAGTTACAATACCATGCATGATGACGCTATTTTGCCAAAATACATCCGTTTGGTACTTCAAGGAAGTTGAACAAATACGCAAAGAAGTACAAACTGTTAGACTGAGCTCTTATAAGCTGACGCGGCAGTGATCATGTGAAGGTACATACATGGTCTCAGCTGCTCACATGGTGATACAGTTCAGGTTACTTAAAACCAAAGACAGGCATCCAGCGAGAGAAACCGGTCGGGTTGGACGGCCGGCAGACGGATGGTGGGCGGTGTGGCAGATAATGTGACATGTCAAGCCATGTTGTGTCATGGGTCAGGCTCTAAAGGCGGTCATGGGAACGGTATGGGAAACATGGCCAGGCTGTGTGGTGGGAGGGCCATCTGGTGTCATCAGCCACCTACCACCATATGATCACGCCTCCAACGAAACCCTCTCGCCTTCAGAATACTCGTGACCCCCCCCCCCCTTCTCCCATCCTGCACTCTGTTAGCTATGTTTTCCGGTCATTGGCATTATTCTTGTATGGCCTCCACTCCCCCAAACAAAGCCCCTCCTCATGCTCTACATGTCTTCAAATATTGATCTGCACAACATCCTCTGCGGTCACAAAGGGGGAGCCTGAGGAAATGAACGGGAAGGAGTATGCAGGGAAGATCGAGCTGTTGAATGAAAACAGCCCCGCAGAAGAAAAAAAAAAGTTTGACGGATTTTTTAATTTTGGTAAGAAATCAAATAGCATCGGAGAGGAGGGGAGCTGAAAGCCCCCGCTGGCTGTCAAGAATCTGGCAGTAACCGGCTGTCTGAAGACAAGACCTCCTTTAGTCTGTTTCTGAATCACTGATGGATGATTTTGTTATTCAGACGGGTCCTTCTAGTTTGCGGGGGAAAGTAAAGTCGGTTTTTTTTGATAGACCTTGGCAAAAATGATGACTATACTGGATTATTCATAATGTTTTCCTTCACGACAAATTTGTTCTTCTATTTTTCATGAGTGGAAGGAAGATGCCGCAACTGAATTCGGAGGATTTGAGCAATACCCTGCTGGTGTTGAGTTTCAAAATAAAAAGGAGCATTTATATTTAACTCAGACGTTGTCTGGTGCAGGCTCCCCCACTAATTGAGGGCTATGCAGTAATCTTCAGTGGGCTAAAACTAATTTACCGTAAGCTCTGCTGCAGCATTAAGATGAGGTCACGCCAGATCAGCATCTCTCCCCACTTGATATCTACATTCTTCTGAGTATAAAAACTGGTTTCAAGCTATTGGACCCCCTGAAGGACATATATAGAGTTCAACATGGAATATCACTGCAAGACGTGGCAGCTAGAAGAGGTTCAACGTCTGTTCCAATCTATTCTTCTATCGTCCGAACAGCAATAACTGAGCAAAAGCAAGAAGAATGACAACCAAAACAAAAAAACATGGACACATTGATCCACATTGATCCATATATGGGTAAGTGTGACTTTGACACACGTTGAACCCCCTTTCCCACGCAGCGCTGCCCAAGCAGGTGCTCCCTCGCTGAGGAATGTCCAGCTGAGTTAAAAAAGGTCACGCCACGATGCCGTCCTGCCCCCAAGCACGCCAACTATCTCGGTGTTAAGGGGGTCACGGACACGAGGTTGTTGACATGCATTTCATCCCATTCACATAATCCAAGCAAGGATTCCAACAGGCAACATTTGCTGCCCTGCTTCTGATCCATCGACTCTCCCGCTTGGTGCACAGCCTTCAAACTTATCAAGACCAATTGATGGAAGGAACTGAGAGTGTGTGAGGGAGAGAAAAAACGGCTTCTGTTTTTGGCCGAGGCTCCTTTCAGTTATCTGGTGGCACTCATCCATGGGGGCAACTGTTAATGTATTATTATCAGAGCAACGTGGAGAGCTGACAGAATGTTTTTGTCTGCCAAACAGGGAATGTGTAACTCCACCCCTCTCAGCCCAGCGGAGGAGAGCGGCGCTGATGGGAAGTTGACCTTATTCAATCAGATTCTTTTTTCTTTTTTTGGATGTCTGTCTTCTTCCTCTTTTTTTTGTGCTTCTGAGCGCTGCCAAGCTCGGCAGAGGGGGGGGGGACAGAGCGTTGCAATGGTGTAGGATGCCTGTGGATGCGCTTCAAACACAGGAAACACTTCCAATAATGTATGCACATCATGGTCTGGTGTACGCACACACCCACACAGACACAGCAACACACTCGCAAGAGCTAACAAAAGCACATTCCTGCGGAATCTGTGCAAGTGGAAGACAAAAGACTTTAATGCCATGTCTCTCACACATTTAGCACTGCAGCCCAGTAGGCTGTAAATCCTGGGCTCATTCAGAGCGTCACTGGCGTTGATCAGGGACAAACTTTCAATACTTCACTGCTTGTCCAATGATCACACCAACCGCTCTCATAGGTGGCACTGGTCTGAGCCCATGAATGTGTCAGGGAACTCATAAGTCACAGCACTGCTTTCCTGCAAGACAAGCCCCCCAACGCACACACACACACACACACACACACACACACACACACCCACACACACACACAGGACCACCACTAAACATATCTCATGGTCATGACTATTTACAGCATGAAATGGTCACTAAGTGGTAGAAGTACTTACTCGTCCTTACTGTATCTGATGTCATGCAGCCGCCTCCATTCATGCATATTGCATACACACATGCACACATCCATACGTGCACACACATTATTACACGCTCACACGCACTATCCTTCTGAAGGACATCGATACATCTGAGAATAGCTGCTCTCATGTGTTAAACTCGGGAAGGGTTATGGTTTAAAAAAAAAAAAGCTGTATAAAAGACATAAAGAGTGATGATCCAGGGAAAAATGTTAGGAATGCAACAAAATCCAAACAATGAGTGGAACAATTGGGAGGAGGAGGAAGATACGATGAGAGGAGACCGGCAGACACAGCAACACTAACCTGTTTCACTTCAGCAGGCATGGTCTAAAAATCCCCCCTTTCGTTCCAGACAAGAATTAAAAACCTCCCGGGGAAATAAATGTGTGAGAACTATTTCCTGGTCTTGGTAAAACTCCTTTCCCTCCTCTCCTCCTCTCGTCTCCTCGCGCTTTCCTTGTCTATTGACGTTGAGTTTTCCCTCTGTGAGCGCAGAGGCAGCAGCTCAGACGCAGGCAGCCATCCTCTGCTCAGCTGTGTCGAGCCAGACGGAGTTAGCGACAGGAGTACCGGAAGTGGGGCGCTGGGCGTTTCACAATAAAAGCGCAACTATTGCACATGTCCGCAAAAAGTCAGCTTTGCGGATGTGTTGCATTACCGGCGGGCAACTACAAAACAAGGGTTAGCTTACATTTGAAACAACCATAGTACATGTCTTATCAACCATACAACCATATTCCACAAGCTAACCGAGCAAAGATTTACAAATCATATAATAGCTGATGGTAATATACTGTAGTAGCCAATAGCCTAGTACGTCATGTGTAACCGAACATATGGCCGAAAAAAAAGGGTCTGTTTTAAGTTATCGCACAGGTATAGTCATACGTTAGGAGACGTGATTTTGTACAAAACTGCTGCTGCCTCTTGAGAGAGTTGTGTGTTTTGAAGTGAAAGCTATCTCGAAAAAAAAAAAAAAATCAGTCATTAACATTTTAATTAAGCATAAGCCCAGGTCATTCTCCCAAAACAGTGGCATAATACTATTGGCCATATTGAAGGTCTACAGGTAACACATAGACCTTTACTATAATAAAATAATCACGGTGTCTAAAGGACTCCTACAAAGTATATTCAGTGAAACATATATACAAATATACAGTATATATACAGTATCATATATCTCACACACAAAACCAAAGTTGGCCCTTTTGAGGCAAAGGCACCCAATACTCTGCACATTTTATATATATCACATAGGGCATGAAAGCAGAATGGTTGACACATGTGAGCTGGCAACTGGCTCTTTTATTTTGAAAGTAAAATCAACCATCATCCTGTGCAATCCTGGCTATTTCAGGCTGGTTTTACACAGCTGAACGAAAGGGACCCAGCTTTCTCTTTTCCAGAGATGCTGTACATATGCAGGGAATGGAAAGAGATGGAGGGGCAAAGGAGGCCGTTACCCACAGCAGAAAGGCCCCTCGCTAACAAAAGCAGAGATCCAAGAATAGGAATGGAGCTCAACCAAACTGTGTGCATATGCACGCA